TAGATTTTTCAATGTAAGGGAGAGAGAAAGATGTGACTTGCATATTAGAAGACTGAAGAGATCTCGACAGAGGATCGGTGAAAGGACAAACACTAGATGGGAGCACATCGCAGTGATAATTCCATTTCTCTGGTCTTTCTAGAGGGTGTTTTTCTCTCTCAAGAGAAGGATAAGCTCCTTGCGGAGAACGTACGTTTACGTGCGCCCTGCCGGTAGATCCCTTGAATCCACTCGAGGATATTTTGCGCCATCACGTCTGCGGCCGATATCGGAGCAGCTCGCTGGATTCTCGAGTGTGCTAATGGATTTCAAACGATTATTTCGATCAAGCTACGTTTCCTTAATCGTAAACTCCTAATCCTTATCCTTATCCTTATCCTTATTGTTATCACTTTCTTTTCCTTTCTTACTGCGACCTTTAATCTCGATCTCGGCCGAGAAAGAATCTCGATTCGTGTCTCTCTTACCATCTCTTACGGAGGACGGCGACGTTCTGACGAACAGAGCATGTCCACCTGGCACGTATTCCTGGCTCACGGCTACGACGGTCAGGCCAGCTGCGATCAGCAACGCTACCATCTCCTTCATCCTTTTCACCTGAAATTCGTAATTTATTTCTCTCTGTGTCTCCCTTCTGAATTGTTGAGAAAGAAAATGCAAGGGATTCTCGGTTATCAATTGATCGTTTGATTCGCGCAATTCTCTGTCTCTCTCTCTCTCAGAGACTTGGCTCGCGTTTCGACATCATTTCGACAGAAAGTTTAACAAGAGCAGATCTCAAAGATGAGAGCAGAATCGCAAAATAAATAGTCGCCTGGAGAAGAAGATGCCGTTTCCACGATTGTTTCGCTCTTCTCACCGTGCTTACTTACAGTGTTGGTACGTTTCGTCAGATCAGATTACGAGGGGGCCCCGCAATCTTCGACGGGGGCCTCTTACCCGCCTTTGTAATTCGGCAGCGCAGTCAAAACACACCGCGACGTACACATTCACTGGCTAATTAGCATCGTGTCTTTTCGCTGGCTGCGTGGATGGAAGAACGTTCGCCTCTCGAACGCAATTCGTTTCGAATTACCGGCTAGAATTTTTCACGCGGTGGTTACTTCGAGCCTGCCGCTTGGAAAAGACTAGTTTCCCTCAGTGGAATCGCGTTACCTAACCTAAATCTAAACCTAAACCTAAACCTAACCTAAATCTACCTACGTTATCTAATCTAAATCTGACCTAAACCTAAACCTAACCTAAATCTACCTACGTTATCTAACCTAAATCTGACTTAAACCTAAATCTA